TTTGTTAGCTTCAGACTCTAATTTCTTGATGATATTTGGGGTTTGCTTTTATGATGTTTCTAGTTTGTATTATGATTTCTTTTTCTGGCATACATTAGTAGATTTTTGTTATGCATTCTACTTGTCTTGGAATGCATTGCTTACTTATTTTGTGGTTTTCATTTTATCTTGCAAACATGTCATCTGCGAAGAAACTTGCAATAAAGGGAAAGAGGAAATTAGATACCCTGCAAGTTGAGAAGGAAAAATAACATAATTAAAACTTGCAAGCGGAAGTTGTAGAGTGGTGATTAAGCTGAGCAGAATGAGGATGAAGCTCAACATGAGGTGGTTGGACAGTCAAAGAAGAGGAATCGGTGGAGTCCTTGGAGGATTGTTAATATCAACAAATTTGAAAGCACAAATAAGCAAAAGTTGGGGCAACTTGATAATCTAGGGTTCAGGGGAATTTTTTGTGAAGCGATTAAAGAGTCGGAACAAATTTTTCAAATGAATTTTGAGCACCTTTGATGCTTTGTCTAGGTCTTTCCTATTGCTTTGATCGGGGAAATTAAGAATACATAAGCATGATGTAAAGAGGGTCTACGGACGGCAACGAGGAGCCTATAGTGTGGATGTGAATGCTTTTACCTCAAACTAGAAACACAAGTGGGGCACTATCTAATGGCTCATCAAAACTAATGGATGGACACTAGTAAGTCTCAAAAAGTAATAATCTAGCTCTGTTTAGGATCGTATTCTGCAAGGACTCTGATAACGTTCCTACTTTAGACTAACTATTTCAATTTCAAGTATCCAAATAGGGCTAAAGAGTCACTAGTGCCAAATTCTACTAACAAAGCAATAACTAGTAAGTGTGATTAGAGATATATGCATTAAATTAAAGGCACTAAGTAAACAGAGAAAGTAAAGCAAGTAGTAAAAGATAAAGAGTGAAATGGTTTTGAAAAGTTGGAACTAAAAATGTTGTTTAGGATAATTTAACATAAAGTGATCCAGGTATGACCATACAAACAATATATCAAATCAAGGTTGTTTTGCTTAGATTTATTCTATTTAAATCTTCTTTAAGACATATTCATGCCCACAAGGTTTTGTGTGCAATAAGAATAATGAACTGGATTATGTACATAGTTTCATCACACAAAAGTAAGGTATGAAGTACATATATCGTGAATAACATGTTGGATGAAAGGATTCAAGCACGTTTATTGGTTTGGCGATCTAGTAACTATTCTAGCCGCGTGGTATAGTGTAACCTAAGATAATCATAAGTAACCATCACATACACATGTGTAGAGGTGGCAAATCCAATCCATCAACTTAAATATCCAACTAATCCAATTTATTTAAATCCAATCTATTTTATCTAAATCTAATTGGATTGGTGAATTCATATATTATTGATAAATTATACTTTAGTATCTATATTTTATAATTTAGCACCTAAAATTTATTTTTCACATATTGTTCAAATGTTTGGGTAAAAAGTATAATTAGTCACTAAACTCATCAAATAGATTTAAGTTTGCCACTTAATTCATTTTTAATACAACTAAACCACTAAACACGGACTAAAACTATACCATCCATCACTCTCGTTAGTATCCATCTAACACCGTGATAACCATGATGACTTGGATTATAATTGTGATGAGTTTGCAATTTTTTAGAAAAATTTCTAGTATAACTCGGCTATCTTCTCTGTTCTACGCCTGTGCACTCCAATCATATTCAAAATCAAATCCTCTCACTCACGTTTTCGACTACTCCTACAACCTTCTTCACTCGGATTCCTACCATAAACCCCTCCATAGCTCCACTGTTGTTGTCGCTTTTCGAGCTTGAGTACTTGCGATAATATATTGTTCTGGGCGATCTAATTGAATGAGGATTGGATTAATGGACCCCTGTTTTGGGCGATAAGATTGTTCTGATAATGGCATCCATGACTCACTCAAAGAGCCCTCCCTGCTGCTTGTAGTAGTAGTCATGCAATTTGTTTCCTATGCATCTCCTCATCGTCCTCACTCCAATTGCTATTGTTGACCTAATTTCCTCCCATCAATAACAGCAGCAGTAGCAACCTGCTCACCAGCTAGGGTCAAAAATGAAAGCAAAATGATTATTTGAATATACAACAATCACTGAGCTCCTACCTATATATTGAAGGAATGAAGAATAACAATAGTGAGGGATCGAAGAAGGAGCACAATGGTGAGTTGAAGTGGAGGAAGCTCAAATGTCAGGCATGTCAAGAGAGATCAAAGAAAACAGAGACTTGAGAACTTTTGTGTTGGATATCTCTCCATCATGAATTTCAATCCATTGCAAGCAATTATTTAAGAGGGGTATCTCAACACACAAGTTTAACACCCCATCTCGATTGTCTCTGAATCACAGTCATGAACAAGGATTATACCGAATAAAATTGTCAAATTATAAAGAGAGGAGCTAGCTGTGATGTTGATTTGGCATATTTACTAATTAATTAGTCCCAAAAATTGCCAAGTCATGGCAGTTATTTCCAATTCAGTATGGATTAACGGTGTTAGATTGATACTCACATGAGTGATGGATGGTACAGTTTTAGTAAGAGTTCAGTGGTTTAGTTGTATTAAAAAGGAGTTAAGTGGCAAACTTAAATCTATTGGATGAGTTTAGTGACCAATGATACATTTTACCCGAACAATGGGTGTATAGCTCGACAAAGATAAAGTGACATCACCGTGATTGACAACATTGATGACAAACTTCTTTCTCTTACAAAATTTAATTTAAAACTTCAAAACTTTGACTAGCGATGTTTATGGTTATCCCTAATATGGAGATGCTCGGATCAAACATGGCATGCAAATTACAATAACGCGCATAAAGTTTGTAAATCGCACTTTGGACAAATATTTAAAAGTTCATCGTAAAACCTCTAAAAATGCACCAATTAGAGATGAATTTAGCATAGGACGAGGTAGCAAAATTAATACTTTTCAAGTGTTATCAAATTATCTCACAATTTAGGCGTGGTTGTGCTCAAGCAAGGAATAGCCATAACCATACAATTCATCAGTCACTAGAGATAGGGGTGAACAAAACATTTGGGAGATATATAATTATCTTTGCAACCTCTCGTTGTATTTAAATTTTTAGTTTAATACAATCTATTAATAATTAAAATATTTTTAACTCGTGTATTTTTTTTAGGGCTGGAAGTTTGGTTCCAATATTTGGGAGATACTGAATATCATATCGAATTATCATTGTTTAGCATTACTGAACACCGATTTATTTCTAGAGATTGGATTGAGATTCATTTTTAAGTGTTATTTAGTATTCGAGATCACGAGATTGAGATCACCGTATCAAAATACCGGGAAACAACAAAAAAATTAAAAGTAATTAACTCACAAGCCTACCCCCTCCCCCGCCACCCAATCCAATCCAATATTTGCTTTGCAATTTAAGTCAATCTCATCTCTCACTCAACCTCTTTTTATTTTCATGACACAAGAAGCATACATTATTATTAGTTGTCTGAGACGGTCCAATCCATCAAATTAAATATTTACTAATCACAAGAAATTGACATTTCACCATCTTCTCCCTTCTCCTTTTTGTACGCCGTATGCCTACTTTTTTTGAAACATTTCCTGTTGTTTTGGTAGACGGAGACGGAATTGTTAGAGCGGATGTTCCTTTTCGAAGAGCCGAATCAAAGTATTATCATTGTCCTTGTTCTAGACTAACTCAAGACCCTTTGCATAGTCTCTTTGCGCTAAATGGAAACCTATAATGAATCAATTTAACAGAGACTTAGTTGAATTCAATCAATGATGACTTCGATTAGTTTTCATTAGGATTTTCACACCTCAGATTCTCATAATCAAAATTTTCAATCACGAAATTAAAACTACAAATCTAAACTATATAAAATGCTTGGGATTAGGGGTGTTCTAACCATTATTTATATATTTGATTATTAAGTGCAAATGAAATTTATTTCGTATTTGAGAATACCGATTCGGAATCCGAAATATTTTGGTATTGGAAATGAGATATCAAATTTATTTTAGAATTGAAATTGATTTCGAAATGATCAATACTCGAATATCGCTTGACGGATCCCAAATCCGGTAAGCCAAGGTCCACGAGCCTCCCTCCAGAGGGAAACCTAGATCGAGTACTTTAGGATATCCTTGTAGCCGATAATCAGCAAGCTATAACTATAGATGATATATAAGTCAAAGACTATAGGCTTCACAAAAAACCTGCAAAGATGGACCTTATGTCCTCTTCAATGTCTCTAGACCACAGAGAGTACTCCACTCCATTTCCACAGCTGCAATGGATGAACTGCATGTGCTCTCCTTATGGTATCAAGACTATCCTCGGACAGCCTTGTACGATTGATCTTCCCTTCCTCTACCAATTTCTTTACCTCCACAATCTATCCTATGGTTTAGGAAATTATAACCATCATGCAAAGTTAGTTAAGACTATAGGCTTAGTGAGGGGCCTGTTAAACATCTATAAGCACCGTCTGAAGTAGCAATGTCGTGTAGAAGTTAGAGATCGATGTGATCAAGTTGGAAGGTAGAGATTTACAACACGGTGCTGATAGTAGAGATCAGTGTAGTCTTCCCCAAGGTGGCCAAGGCTTAGCTTCACGGCGTTCACGAGCATATTCAGGACTACCCTTTACCTCAAACATTCTTTCCCTGAGGAGTGATCTTCAAGATGAGTGGCTGGTTCAGATCGATCAATCGATCTTATGATTTCTTCATTTTTTCGGGGGCAAAAGCGGAGAGGTTTCACGGGGAAATGATTCACACTCTTCAAACTAATAAAGCACACATCAAAGGACGAAGCCCGTACAATCTAGTTACATTGTCTTGTTTGAAAGAAAGATATGCAAATTGTTCTTTCGGGAAGAGTTGGAATAGATGTAAGTGCTTAGAGGGAAGTCCTAAGAGATTCTTGCTTAGGTGGGGTGTCTGCAAGCTTCATGCGTATTTAGCTACGATAGGATAGATCTTCGATCCACTGACTTCATCAATGGGAACAACATCAGAAATTTCTTTTACATCTTCTGTAAGCTTCAAGGCCAAGGATCCAAGATTGTTGTCAAGATTTTTCACTTTAGTTGTACCTACAAAGACCAAGAATGGGGATTCATAGTCAGTTCCTTGTGAATCCCGCTTAAATGAGCGTAGTGAAGTTAAAACTTGTGTCTACTTCTTGCAGGGGTAAGCCCAAGAACTACGAGTTGGTTGTACTTGGAGAATCAGAACTATTAGAAGAGAACGGTTGTTTTGACAAAACAATTTTTTTTTTACCGGGGACTGGGATTATGTTAATTCCTTGATGTAGAATCCATGCAAGCGCTAGTTGAGGAGGAGTGCACCTATGCTTTGTAGCCAGGTTGGCAACCCGTGTATAGAAGACCTTGTTCTTCTGTACATTTTCAGCTGAAAACCTAGGATGATACACATGCTGTCCCAAGAACATGAGAGCATGGAGTTAGGTTGTTAGAACTCGATCTATACTTTAGAAAGAATTGTGATGGAACTACTTGTAGTTGCTCTCACATACCGATATAATATCCTCGGGAAAGGTCTCCACAACTGCTTTTCCAGCAAAGAATCCAACGCCAAGCGAACTATATGCAACTAATCCAATTCCAAGTTCCCTGTTCAGCAAAGGAGTAAGAACGATTATTTCATCACACATATTTACAGATGTTCTTTTGAGATTTGTGGAGTTAGCCTGGAAAAAAAAGACGCACCTGCAAAGTGGGATGATTTCTTGTTCAATGTCATGGGACCAAAGGGAATACTGCATTTGCAGGGCAGAGATGGGATGAACCGCATGGGCTCTCCTGATTGTGTCTGGACTGGGTTCGGATAGCCCTAGGTATTTGATCTTGCCTTCATTCACAAGCTTCTTTAGCTCCCCCATCTCCGATCCACTGACTTCATCAATGGGAACAACATCAGAAATTTCTTTTACATCTTCTTCTGTAAGCTTCAAGGCCAAGGATCCAAGATTGTTGTCAAGATTTTTCACTTTAGTTGTACCTACAAAGACCAAGAATGGGGATTCATAGTCAGTTCCTTGTGAATCCCGCTTAAATGAGCATAGTGAAGTTAAAACTTGTGTTTACTTCTTGCAGGGGTAAGCCCAAGAACTACGAGTTGGTTGTACTTGGAGAATCAGAACTATTAGAAGAGAACGGTTGTTTTGACAAAACAAATTTTTTTTACCGGGGACTGGGATTATGTTAATTCCTTGATGTTGAAGCCATGCAAACGCTAGTTGAGGAGGAGTGCACCTATGCTTTGTAGCCAGGTTGGCAACCCGTGTACAGAAGACCTTGTTCTTCTTTACATTTTCAGCTGAAAACCTAGGATGGCACACATGCTGTCCCAAGAACATGAGAGCATGGATTTAGGTTGTTAGAACTCGATCTATACTTTAGAAAGAATTGTTCTGGAACTACTTGTAGTTGTTCTCACATACCGATATACTATCCTCGGGAAAGGTCTCCACAACTGCTTTTCCAGCAAAGAATCCAACGCCAAGCAAACTATATGCAACTAATCCAATTCCAAGTTCCCTATTCAGCAAAGAAGTAAGAACGATTATTTCATCACACATATTTACAAATGTTCTTATGAGATTTGTGGAGTTAGACTGGAAAAAAAAGACGTACCTGCAAAGTGGGATGATTTCTTGTTCAATGTCACGGGACCAAAGGGAATACTGCATTTGAAGGGCAGAGATGGAATGAACCGCATGGGCTCTCCTGATTGTGTTTGGACTGGGTTCGGATAGCCCTAGGTATTTGATCTTCCCATGCAAGAGCTAGCTGAGAAGCAGTGTAGGCATGCTTTAAGGACAAATTGGCAACTCTTGAATACATTGCTTTGTTCTTCTCTAAACTAACCCCTGTGAACCTTGGATGTGCGGTCGGCAATCACGAACATAGCGAATCTCTTAGTTCAGCATCAGCTTTTGATTCTCATCGTAAAGTTTGATTCTGAAGGAGTATTTTCGAAATCATTAACAAGTTCCAACTTACCAATAGACTTCCACTGGGAAAGCTCTTTGTAACTGCTTTTCCGGCAAAAAACCCATGACCAAGAGGACCGTAACTCACTATGCCAATGCCAAGTTCACTGCCAATTAAAAAGAGTAAGCTGTGTGAGCAGAATCTTAAGGCAAGAAAGAGATAATTTCCCTTCCTCAATCGACTAGATTCTTCCAACAGGTTCAAGGCCAGAACAGGAAGCATAAAAACTAGGTGAAAAGATAAAGCTAGACATGGATCAAGAATATATATACCGGCATAGAGGAATGATCTCTTGTTCAATCTCTCTGCTCCATAACGAGTATTCCATCTGCACTGCAGTAATGGGATGAACAGCATGCGCTCTCTTGATTGTATCAGGACTTGCTTCTGATAATCCAATGTACTTCACCTTCCCTTCATTCACCAGCTTCTGCATCTCCTCCATCTATATATCAAACAACAAAACAAACCCAGACAAAGTTGAGTTCTGCGATTAAGCCTTGCAAGTAAAGCAAGACAAGGGAGCCCTAAGTGTTTGAAAACGTTACAGTATCCTCGATTGGAACTGAAGTATTAACACGGTGCTGGTAATAGAGATCAATGTAGTCCACTCCAAGGCGGGTAAGGCTAGCTTCACAAAATTCAAGCACATATTAAGGACTACCCTTTACGTCAAACTGCTTATCTTCACTTAAAATGATTCCAAATTTTGTTGCTAGTTGAACTTCTTCTGTGGGGAGCTTCTTTAGAGCCTGCCAAATGATAACAAACAAACACACTCAATCTTTGCAACTAGATAAACTCATCTACCAACAGCGGAAGAAAAGCATTGGATTCAGTAATCCTCACAACCTTCCCCAACATGATTTCATTATCATGATTCTTTCCATAGACACCCGATGTATCGAAGAAGGTCACACCTCTATGGAAGGCGCTCTTCAGAAGTGAACATCCGTCTTCGTGGGTTAGGGGATCGTTTAGCAGCCCAGATAGCCCTGCACATCTTAACTATAATCTTGAAACCTGAAAACAGACAGAACTTGCAAGAACCTGACTTCACCTATTCATGTTAAACTCAAAAGCCAAACTGCTAAACTTGCCAAACATATAGAAGAGTTTCTGCAACCCTCAAAATGTTTCAAATGCCATGATATAAAACATTAACTTTACCTCCAATCCTTGAATGCCCAGTTTCACTTTCGGAATTCTAACACTAGGTGTATCGTTCTCCATGTCAGCGCTTTGAGCACAACTTTCTCGCTGTCGCTCAATTGGTAAGTGTAAGAATGGCGTTTAGGAAGGCTTATCTGAAAGCTATAAATTAATCAAAATTGGTCGGAGTCTTCTTTTCAAATCAAAATTGCGGGTAGCCAAGAAAGAGAAGACGGCGAAACGACACCGCTTCATAACTAGCGGTTTTCTTAATTTTTCGTCTTCCTTCTACAATTAATGAATTTTGTTTTAACCAGTTAATAATTTACTTTCACCCAGATTTTTACCGTGGTTTCCTTCTTTTCCGCCGCAGTAAGTTTCCAGAATTCCAATCTAAAAACTAACGGGAAATCCGAGTTGCTTCGCATCAATTCAATAAACCAGCCATAGACCGGGGGAAGAAAAGAGGCAGAAACTCGAGAGAAATGGAGATGAAGCAGATCTACGTTCTGGCGGCTCTTTTGTTGAGCTTCGTCGCCCGAATCTCTTCCCTCTCCATCACCGTCAACGACGTCGAGTGCGTCTACGAGTATGTCTTCTACGAGGGAGACGCCATCTCCGGTAACTTCGTGGTCGTCGATCATGATATCTTCTGGGGCTCCGATCACCCTGGCATCGATTTCACTGTAACTCAATTCCCTGCCATTTATGATCTCTGCGTTTTTTCTCTAGTTTCATTTCTCTACGATCTTTTTTAATTTTCTCGTCTAGGGTTAAGGAAATTGTGGCCATATTGTAGGTAATTAGGGTTATAGTGAACGTTTTCCCAATTATCAATGAAGATTAAATCCCCATTTGTTGCTTCCGTATTGCGACCCCACCAGGAACGTAGCTCGAACAGTGAAGTTGTATCTGTTTCATCTTTGGAATAGGGCTGTTAGACTCTCAATTCCGGATTGACAAACCCTAAATGTTGATATCTTGTTACATTTGGCTCTGTAACTTAACGGTGTTATAGTTCCCTCATTTCTTTATCTTGCATCAAATAAAGTTTGATTGTGTTTTTGTTTCATGGTCAGGTTCCATTGTTTAGAACAGCTTCTAGAGCTGCCCCTGTTGGGTTCTTTCTTCCGTAGACAGTCGGAATCATATTTATATAAAAAGATTTTGGCTTTTTATCTCATGTAGGTCTCGTCACCTGGAGGAAATGTTGTGCACAACATAAAGGGGACATCTGGGGATAAGTTTGAGTTGAAGGCGCCAAGGAGCGGGATGTACAAATTCTGTTTTCACAATCCTTTCTCCACGCCAGAGACAGTGTCGTTCTATATTCATGTGGGCCATATTCCCAATGAGCATGATGTTGCAAAAGATGGTTGGTGGATCTCTCTCTCCTGTTAATCATGCATGTCTGTGATTATGGGTTGTGGAAGGGCACTCATTGTGTGGTCGCTTTGCTTGTTAACTGAAACTGGTTATGGTCTTATGGAGCCTAATGGCCATGATTGTGTGATGGCTTCAGAGTTGAGGCGAGTTTAGAGATCATATGTTGTAGGCTCATATATTAACATGGTTTGTGGCTTGCAGAGCATTTGGACCCAATTAATGTTAAGATTGCTGAACTGAGAGAGGCATTGGAATCTGTTACAGCAGAACAGAAATACCTGAGGGCACGAGACAATAGACACCGACACAGTAAGCTGCTGCCTTTCCTGTCATTTTCCAAAATTCTATAACCGAAGTAACTCTTATATAACAAAGCTTTGGATTCTTCAATATATGATGTTTATGAATGTACTGCGCTGGTATAATTTGTTCCAGAAAGAAGGAATACCATTTGGGTGTATTTACTGTTAAACTTCAGCTTGTTGATGGTTCACTTTTTCACTGTTACAAATTGAATATACAGAAGCTGTAAATTGATTTACAATCTGGTGCTAGTAGCTCTGTTTAAGTAATTTAGCTAGCATTGTGTAAGTAACTTATCTAGCTCTGTTTCTTCTGCAGCAAATGAGAGCACAAGAAAGCGTGTTATTGGCTATACAGTTGGAGAATACATTTTGCTGGCTGCCGTGAGCTCACTCCAGGTGTTGTACATCCGCCGACTCTTCAGCAAGTCAGTGTCGTACAATCGTGTTTAAGTGGGGTTCAATCGATCTAAGTTATTGTCCATTAAGTAATGAGTTAATAGAGGAAACTAGTAGAGTAATTTAGAACCATGTATGTTTTATACAAACAGAAACCAGCTGGATCTTTTCTAACTATTGCAGTTTTTGCATCCTAATGATGAAGCTCTTCGTGGTCACTCATGTTCAACTTAGCATAATAATCTACTAGACTTTGATGCATATTCAAGTTTCAAAAAGAATTTCCAGCTCTCTTTAACTTCAGCAGAGAATGGCTTTGCCGGTGTAGGATTGTGTTCCCTGCCCCATCTCCATGGTCGTGCTGCTCAAATATCGACTTAAGATCTAGAAAATGCAATTGTACAGTTGGTTAGTAGAGATGTTTGTGCTGCTCAAGTATCGACATAGGATCTAGAAAATGGAGTTGTACAGGGCTCAAAAGAAAATGTGATGATGGCGAGGTTAATGTGCTTAGCACAGCGTTGTACGGTTGATTAGTAGATGTTTGTATGCTTGGTATAATCACAAAAGTTTTATGAATCGTGTCAACCTTGTGAGCTTAGGTTGGGATTGTTCAATATACATTCATTTGTTATGATTCAAATCATAATGATATGAGAATCATCAATAATGATCGAGGATAGTCATTAGTAGTATCTACTGATAACATCTTACTTCCTACAAATTTAACGAAAAGTGAATTAGACCATCCTCAAACTAGGAGTGGGCGAGAAACTGCATACTCGAGTCTGATAATCAATACTTCAGTACCAACATCTACTTTCATATATAAACCTACTACGGCTTTGCAAGCAAGAATTTCAAGCCTCTCCGTCACAAAAGTCTCACGAACGATCAATCCTGCCCAACCAAAAAAAAATGTGTCCTAAACACCGGCTTTGAAGATTCTTTGAAATTAAGATGGTTCGTACATAAGCCAGAAGGAAGCAGTAGCGAGTTTGATCCACGATAGATACATCAGCTACAGAGTAGGAACGACCTGGATCATGTCTCATTTAGGGTTCCTGAGCACAATGATGACTGAATCGCCGCGCAGAAACATTTTACTAATGAACCTGTCCTTGTTCACTGGTTGTGCCTTCTTCTTGCCCTTCCCTGTTTTAGGCACCTGATGTGATTTAAAGGATGCAGCAGAGATGAAATTATTATTTTACAATAGAAGTCTGAACTGTGATAGCACTGATTATATAAACCCTTGTATTGTTATCAAAAACACAACCAACTAACCTCAGTCCACATCTCCCTGACGTTTTCCAAGACCATGTTGCAGTGACGGTCAAATGCCCTCACACGCCCAAGAAGCTTCTTGTTGTTCCTGCAGTTTATCAGCACCTGTGCATGCATTTCCAAACAAAAATTAAGATAAAAATGCCAGTAGTCAACAGAACAAGAAAACAAAATGAAAATAACTCAATCCAACTTATGTTTACATCCAAGCAATCACTAAACTCATCCCAACAGCCATTATCTTTTGAGATAGAACGCTAAAGTATTTACTCCCTACTCGCTTACAACAGAAGAGGTCATTAAAGTCACAAGTCAAGATGTTAACAAGAATCTACCTGGGTGTTATTCTTCACACTCATCATAAGAACAGAAAGTGGACCTGTGCTGAATTCTTCCTCCTTGCCCTGTGCAAAATAAGCAACAAAAGATAAGACAACAATACTCATGGTCAAATAAAAACACATGTGACAAAGTCGCTAGTCTTAGGCATAACTGATAGTTGCAAGTGTATACCCTACAGTTCCACACCAAAGTCTATATTTTAGGAAAGTATAGGTTAGCAGTAACGATCATCAAGCACTAGTTGTTGCCCAAAACAAGTTACATTGACTCATAGCAGGTCAGATACAGTAGAAAAAGTTCAACCTAGAGACATGCTATGGAAGTACCGGCAAATATCTTAAAAGAGTACGGCCTCTCCTATCATATTCTCTCCGGCGACACCAGTTAGAGAAAAGTGGCCTGCTACAACTTTCAGAATGGGCTGGAATGTACATCTTCACCTTCGTCCTAGAGCAAATTTACATAGCTCATAGGCCTCTCACTTGATCATTAAATTAGTGGTGTCACCAAAACTTCTAAATCTACTTACATACCGTTTGGTATAAATGAATTCCATAAGTTTTTAGGAATTCATTTTGAAATGAAATCTTTTTGTGTTTGGTATTTAAAAGAATTCATTTTCAATTCTAAATTTTGAATTCTACAGAATTGGAACTAGTTATATCAATTCCGAGTAATTGAGATGGAATTTTCAAATGAATTCCACAAGTATTTACCAATTATGATAGAAGGACATAATTATTCTAATTTATTAACAAAATTACTTCTACATATATTATTTGGAGCCAATTCATGTAGTATGAGGAACGTCGACAAGAAGTTGATTATAACGCTAATAGCATATACCAAACACAAGAATTCATTTGACAATGAATTCTACACAGGAATTCATTTTAAAACAAAATGAATTCTAAATTCATTTGGTACCAAACAATCTGTTAATATTAGTAGAAAACTAAACATCGATCAGTTGAACAAAATTGCATTGTTGCACAAAGTACTCTGAAATCACTGTCAACTGATTATGGTTAATGAAATCGTCATGAAAAACCAAACTTAATTTACTGCCCTATAGGTGAAAGGTCTAAGCCTAATTCCTCATTAGATAGAAGGGGGGAAAAGATTATTCAAGACAAACAACCAGGAAAGATTCATCTCTGATAGAAAAACATAGATTTTGACACAATAGAATGAAACGAATTCGGGCACAAGGCATTAGGAGAACTTACTGGAGCATCCTCTTCCATTGGTCGACTGCAAAAAGATCATCAAACCAAAAGGCAAAACTGTCACTATACTAATCTACACGAACTGTGCAGGAAGTAATTGGAAAACATGTACTGAAACTAACAACCAGCTCTGAACACTAGATTGAAGAAAACAGCTACGCAGGTCAAGACACCCGAACTTTAGTATTTTTGTTCAATGAAAGGTGGACAAACAAGTTCAACACAATACTGACTAACTTAGCAAGTAACAGTTTTCACCAACTAACCCAATAAGAAAAAGCTAGCAGTAGATTCAACCAGTAAGATAATTAACATCTAGTTCGGAGGACGACTATCAAATTTGGGGGATAAAAGCTAAAATTCGACCAGGGCCCCAAGCAGACAAATCTGAAACATCATAACGAGCTATCTACATTGCTAGAGTTCTCTCCACGTTAACTAGAAAAAGAATGAGGAAGCCCGAAACTTACCTCATGGTGGGTTCAGTTTCTTCTTCGCGCTGTTCAAGAAACCTGCAAACCGGAAGGAAAATTAGGATTCAGCTGACGATACGAGAAAGAGACCGAGCAAACGAAAAAAAGAAAGGATAGAGACGAACTCACGGACGGAAATACAGAGCTAGGGTTTCGCGGGAGGTTTTGAGTTTGTTGCCGGGTTGTACTTGTACAGACACATATCGAATTCTGCGTACGGGGAAGCAAAAGGAGCCGATTCCGATTTTAATTTTAAATTTCAATTCCATATTTCTTGTTTTATTTGTGAAGCCTGATGGTGATGGAAGGAATTATGGGCCGCCGAAATACTCGGCCCAGCATAGCGTTGTTACTAGCCCATCACCAAAAATGGTACAGAGCCTAGTCAATCAATTATCCACATCTATCTACCCATAATAATTAATATAATAGCCGGAATGGAAAAAGGGAGCCCCATTTCAAATTTTCTGCTCCATGATCGTTTTGCGGAGGGTTAAAAATGGAAAGATTATTTGTAACGGGCTACCAACACGGATGGAAAACTGCCATGGTGAATGGGCCCAAATAGTGATGAGACCCATCCAATCGCAAACTCATCGCTCTCTGTACAAGTACAACATGTTGAAATTTCCACTGCTCCGCCTCTCACTGGCTTCCCCACAAACCATGTGTCCCGCCGACGAACATTGTGGAGATTGCACCTTAATTTCACCTGTTTTACTACTTCGTTTGAAACCCCTCCACGTTTTCTTCCTCTGGGTCATACTAAATTCGAAGTCAACTCTGTTTTCCCCAATTTCCCCCACTTTCACTTATATGTCCGTCTCTCTCTTCCTGTTGAACTTAATCTGCAGGTGTTGAAGAAAAATGTCCACCCTACTCTCATTCATCGGGATCACTACTGCGAGTGATCCCCCACCAGATTCCCACATGCACGAAGCGGAGGCGGTCTGCACAAAAGACTTCTATGCTTCCGGTACCTTGAATTCCAGGGGTAGAGGTAATTCTTTGCCTCCAAACACAAGTTTCTTCTCCAAGCGTAATTTAGTGATGAATTAGGGGTGAGTGTTTATTACCGTATGTTTTCATTTTTGTTGTATCGGCTTCATTTATTACCTATTGTTTCGTCGAATAATTTTGGATTTCCCTATGGATCTTCATAGACGGGATCGAAGATTTTAGAAAATTGCAGGGCTTAGTTGCCTCCCATTCTCTATTCTTTACGCTTTGCTTCAGAAACCTTTAACGAAGTTCTATTTTGATATTTTAAAGCCCTTCGAGTCCTCCCTGATGAATAATTGAATATCAATGTTTACAGCAGGTACTTGGACCAATCGTGGTTAAGATTGAGCGGTGACTTTGGATATGCATTTCTTCTTCCCAAGCAAAATATGTATGGAAATGGAAGTTAAGTGTTGTAAATTAGGCTGGTGTGGTATGCTGACTTAGGCTGTGTGAGATACAGAGGCTGGTACGTCTCAAATTCGAATTCCTTAGACTTAGTCTTTCAGTAGTGACATTGTGCCTATCCGTACGATTTTTCAAGTAAGCGTCCTCCTTACTGTGCCTGTTATTTGAGGTTTAAATTGCATAACCTATGAAATACTGAAACCGAATTGTTATTTGGGATTATCAACGATTTGGCCTCCTTGCATGCTTACAATATGGTTCAAAGGAAGGAATGGAACTGAATTTAGTTCCACGAAGTTTGAAAGTATTGTGTCATATTCTAGTGTGAATGGTTTGTGTTTCATAATCAGGTTTTCTAAAGTGCTTCTTATGTGATTCCTTATGAGTATTTGGTTATGGCTATATCTATTTGTTTCATGGTTCAAGCTAAATTGTTGATTTATTTACTTTTACTTTTACGGAAGAATGTCATGGCCATATTCAATGTGATGAAATGGTTGCCACATTACCTTATCAACAAGCTATATCTGTATCCGAAATTGTTGGTGCCGAAGAGCTGAATATTGTTTCATTTAACAGTCTGTATATGGCAAACAACTTCCAAAAGCTTTTTTCATTACAAGTAAAGTAGGGGTTGGCATTCAGTCGGTTCGGTTTGAACCGAACCGAAAAGATGCATACCGGTATTCCGATTCCCAGCAAAGGCTAAACCGATTTCGAACTGAATTATATTTTGGTTCGGTTTGGCCGAACCAAAATATTAATCGGTTCGGAATGGAAAATCCGAATTCCGATCTTCTCCCATTCTCTCTATTTCTTCTTCGTTGACAAAAGACACCCCCCACAAAACCTACTTTTTCCTCTTCCTCCTCAGACATCTCCCACTTTCTCTTCTTTCTTCCCTCTCTGTCGCAACATCAGAAACAGAGATCGGGCTCCATCCGTAGCCGACGGCAACCCCGGCGAGTCCCTTCCTCTCCATTCGGCGTCCCGTTGTGATCTTTCTTCTTTCCTGTCAAACCCCAACATCAGAGATCCGCTCCTCCAGCGAGTCCCTTCTTCTCCCATGGCGGCATTTTCACTCCCGGGTCCCTTCTTTTCCCCCGGTTGAGTTGAGTTCCCTCCGCCGTTGAGGTCGTGCTCCGCTCCTTCATCGCCGGTCTCCCTCTACCATGGCGTCCCTTTCACTCCTGCTGTTTGCATGTGGTTATCGCCCATCTCAAATCAAACATCGGCAACAAAAGCAACTCCGATGGCCCGATCTGGTCTCCCTTCCACCGTCGCCGCCATGAAACCTAGCTGCCCCAGTATCGCCGAGCTTCTGCCGGACCCCTTCATCCTGAAGCCGATGACGATGTGGGTGATGAAGAGACGGAAGAAGGCAGTGAACCCCGATTTGATGGCGGAGACGAGCTTCACGGGTTGGCCGTAGAATCCATGGAGGGCGAGGGTTTCGATTGGGAATTTGAGGTCATCGTCATCGTGGTGGTGGGGAAGTGAACTGATCAGAGGATTGGAGGAAGTCCAACTAGGCTAGGATGAAGTGGAGCGGCGGACAGGAGAGGAGGGATTTGGGGCGGTGGCCATGAGAGGAGCTAATTGTTGCGAGATGAGGATAGGGGTGGGAGGCGATTGTCAAAGATTGACATGGGCTTAGGGTTTTGGTAGGAATGGGTTGAGTCTTGAGTAATGTTTGGGCTTCTAGAGTGGATTTGTTGGGCTGTAGCTCTTGTGAGAGAGAGTGGGCTGCCAGTTGTGCTTTGGGAGAGGGTGGGTAATCAGTTTGGGCCATGGGAGAAGGTAGACTTATTTGAGTTGATTAGTTTAATTCGGTTTTTCGGATTTCGGGTTCGGTCGGCAGAACCAGGTTTCCGAAATACATAATTTTCCCTTCCAAATTTTGAACTGAACAACAAAAGTTCGATTTCGGTTCGGTGTAAATTCGGTTCGGTCGGGTTTACCGAACCGGATGCCCACCCCTAAAGTAAAGTGTTCCACTTACTATCACAGCCTGTTTTACAATTTCTAATTCATATATTTCATATTTTGGTGTTATAGGTGAAGTTGTATCTTATCTCTGGTAAGGTTAAGCAGGTTACCGTTTCATCTGAACTTGAATATGACAAGTGTTGTATATTTCACCACCGACGATCCAACGACTGATGTGCAAATCATGTTCCCCTCTATCAACCTTAGAAGAATTGCATCTGATTTGATTAGCCCGGATAAAGTTGAATGAGATTTAAACTTCAGAAGCATCCTCAGCTCCATCAATGGCAATTCATACCAATCCATTATCAAGATTGGTGCTTGGAATCATATGATGAATCACTATGATTTGATCTTGCTCAAGATGTTTGTAGTGATAGGCAAGTATAGGATGACGAAGTTAGCTGTTTCCCTTCTGTTTTCAGCAGACCAGACTTTTTTTATGGGTGAGGACCACATGCTTGGTGGATTTTGGCATGGTTTCCCCCCAGTTTCATTTTAAAGTTTGTCAGACAATACCACTTGGTATTTTTCTGATGGTTTTCTTTCTAATATATCGATCTTTCTTTTGTTTTAAAGGTTTAAATACATTCTTTATTTAATTTTGTAGATGAGAGCCATTGCATTGTTGTACATAGTACATACCTGGATTTCCATTGAAATTCAAAATAGGAAGCTTGGATAGTTGTGTGAAATGTAATTATATTATTTACCATCCCAGTTTGTCTCTATTTTAATTTGACCATTTTTCACCCATTTCTTCTTTTATTTTAAGCGGCGTGAGTGTAGATAATGGATTAATTGAGTTAGGTTAATCGTGAGTAATGGTTGGAAAGGCATCGGCTGTAGTATAACGAATCCATTAATTGTGTGAAATAAGTGTGTAATTTGGTTGACATAAGTGTGTAATTTGTATAATTTAATCCATTAATTGGGTACTGACTACTGAGTATTCACTTTGGTTCATTTTCCCGATACTCTTTACATAAACAATCGCTATATCGTAAACGTTCCAATTACAAACCTTTGAAATTAGGAAAACAAGTCGTTTGAAATGAACTATTTCCTCCACAAATTTTAGTATCTTAGCATTTCGTATCTTAAAATAGTTATAATTTAGAAAAGGGTTAATACCTTAATCTGGTCTGAACTTTTCACAAATATACTACTTTGGTCCGTATTTTCCTAATTTCATATTCTGGTCTAAACTATGCAACATCTGTACTATTTTGACCGGACGTATTGGTTGACCGTCAAGTTGAACGGTCAAAGCGCCAGATCAGTGTCATGTTAGGACAAACAAAATAAAAAATATTCAATCTAATAATTTTTTTATAATTATTTATTTATTTATCAAACCATAAAATGAGGGGGCCACATTTTTTTATTTTCATTTTATTATTTAGTAAGTAAATAAATAAAATTAGAAACAAATTTAGTTTTTTTTACAGTAACGTGGGATTTCTTAACCATCGGTTCATTTGGTTGATTCTAGGTTGACTTTTGAGTTGATTAAAGATACCTAGATATACTTTTTGTTGATTTTGTTATGATACTCCTTTTCAGTATCATAATTTTCCTGATTTGAAATGTTTTGTGGTTAACATAGGGAACAAAGACTATCTGATTACTGTTAACATAGGGAATAGCTTCAATCATACCATCTTTACACATATTTTATATATAAGAGCTTAGATCATTGCCAAATTGAACTTTTCAAGCTATAATGTTGATCTTCAACATATAAATCATGATTTCTTTTTAGTGAAATAACCTCATGATTGCATATACGTTTTTCTGTTTCGTGATATTGGTCACTTGCTTCCATATTTAAAGTGGAGTT